ATGATTATTTAAAGCGTTGTGTATATTAGCAGCGACATATGAATCAAGATGCTATGACCGAAAAAATTTGATTGACAGAGGACCGTTGATAGATGATTGGCTGAATTTAGGTGTTCAGGCCGTCGTATAACTAACTGGCCTGCATAAGATAATGAAAAAAAACCACAGGTTTTAAGACAGGATCTTTTTTTAAAATAGAAATCTTCAAACTTTTGGGACAATATTGATCTGACAAAGAGTACATTTATATTCATGTTTAAGCCAGAGTGATTTCATATTTAAATATGACTTTCCTACAACTTTAAGACTCTATGATACTTTTATCGTTATGATCAACAAACTCAGGGATTAAAAGCTTTATTTTCAATTTATAATCATCATATTAAAGGTGCTTTAACAGTTATACTTAGTTAAATCCCCTTCTGCTGAAATTACAGATGAAAGTCTCTGGTTCAGACTGAAATGTTTTGCCAATTTTTGGCAAAGTAGCTCAAGCCTGGTCTGGCTGCATGGAGAGTAACTGTAAGTGAGAAAATGCGAATTCTGCTACATTAAAAGTCTGCAATAAACTCTACATTGGATGTCTGTCTGTACTTTAACTGGACCTTTCTAACACATGAACATGGTTGACCACTCAGTCGCTCTAGTTGTATGTTTAGACTCGTCCAACTAAGGTGAACCTAAGATCTGGATTTAATCTCTGAAGTCTCAATTTTTTTTCATTTCTATCATTTCTCTGTACTTAATTTTATTCATATTTTGATCTGTTCTTTGTTTTTTTGGGGGTTTTTTTTATAAAAGAAAGGCATTCACATAGAATGATGCTGCCACTACCATAACTCTCTATGAGAATCTTGTTCAATGTTGTTTGCAGTTTTAGTTTTCTGCCATAAATTGTTTTTTTTTTTGGTAAACAGATCTTCTTATGGTTTTTGTTAAACAGCTGATTTGCTCTGTAGCTCTTTTATAAAAAGATAATAGTCAGAGTTTTCACTTGAACCGAGGCCACTTTTCCAAGAGTAAGCTTCTTGATTGCTTCTCTTATTCACATTCTCTTAGTTTACACCCATGTTTGGTCAGTTTCTAGTTGTGCAATCGAGGTCAATGAAGAATTTTATATTTGTACTTCAAGGACAACAAAATGTAACACAATTCCAATTCTTATATGTAAATATTTGCAAAACAAATCTGAATTGCGTGCTTTTTTGTAATGGTCCATTATGTAAATTCCAGCAAATTTTAAGGTGCTATCCTATAACAAAGTGAAACATTTAAATGGGTAGGAGCAGTTTGCTAAGACTCTGTAAATCTGCACACATACTAACAGTTTTATTAATTATTTTCCGTACCTTCGTTCTGGGGTCAATTAGGCTAACGCCTTTCTTGCCGATGGTAAACCAAAGAACAGGTGGGTACGATGGCTCACATGTTTGCTGCAAATAAAAGCAGAAAAAATTAGTTTTCTTGGGTTTTTGTTTCCTTACAGTATGTGGCTGTCTCTGCATCCTCTGTAACTCACTTTAACTTCAAAGAAGGAACAGCCAAAGGTCGGCCAACTAGAAATTTCTTTAAGGAAGGCAATTTTGGCCTCTTGTACTGTCATACCGCTCTGCCCGTTGTATGATGTGATGATGTGCTGAAAGCAGACAACAGAAAAAGTCACGCTTATAAAATTTTTTAACTTTTTTTGTTATTCTCATAAGAAATTAATGCTTACTCTCAAATATCTGTAAAAAATAAACAAAAAAAAAATCTTTCATACCTTCTTCCATTCGTCCGGAGACATTATTTTTTGTTGGTCAGAAGGAACCAGCTCGCCCAGCATTCTAGGGATCATGACAAACTGTGACCTGTCAGAGTCCACCGCCACTCTGAAGAGAAGCCCTCCCAGGTTTATCATGTCCTCTTTGCTGCATTGGTGGAATCCCCGAAGATACCTAGGCACCTCCTGCAAGGAAAATCAAACCATTTCATGATCACACTGTATCTCAAACAAGAGTAAAAGCCACCAGAATCAAAGTTTTTATATCTCCAACTATACCTGTGGGAAATGGAAGGTAAGATCTGCGATAAGGTCTTTTCCTGGGATGACGTTGAACCAGAGCTTCCTTCTAAAGGTCACCATGAGCGGCACATAGGCTTGTTGGGCTGTGGAGCCACAGTTTGAATGGTAAGCATGGGGTGAGCTAACATTGAAAAAACATCTTTATTTTTGAATTATTAACCTTCTTTCACTTTTTTCCCTTTCTTTGGAACATCTGGAGGCTGCCTTAGATTGTCAAAGAAATATTTGTCCTCATCCAGGCACACCAGCTACAACACAGCAAACAGGAGAGAAGAACATTTTGAATATCAGAAAATGTTTCTTTACACTTCCAACTATTAACCTTGATGTATATTATTGGTATTTTATTTCAAAAACCCAGAGAGAATTGCACATTTTTACTTTATGCCATAAAAAAACAGATAAGTGTGGCATGCAATTAAATTCAAAGCACATAATTCATTGCTCTGCAGACTCAGCCTTATAAGTCTCTAATCTGAAGATGGACATGGTGCCAAACTTCTTTACAAATTAGCACAGGAAGATTAAATGGAAATCGTCCATTAAAACTACGTCTCCAATCTTTCCACAGACTGATTTGGGTTTTGGCCTAGACTTTAACTAGGCCATTCTAACATGACTGTGCTATGCTCTTTGAGGCTCTGCCTGAGGGCTGGTTTCCTGCTGGAGGGTAAATCTCTATAATCCACCATTAAGTCTTCAGTTTTCTGACATGTTGGCCTTAGGTTCAGCTCTATCCACCTTCCAATTAACACTGGGCAGCTTTCCACAGGATAAAGCTGCAACCACTAGATTTGACAGTGGTGTTCAGAGTGATAGGCAGTGAAAGTTCACCACCGCACGTAGATATTGGTCTCATCTCACCAGAGCATCACCTCCATTTTGGTTTTGTTCTCTACATGGCTTGTGGCAAACTGCAAAGAGGTTCTCGCATAGGGGCTAAAAAAATGTTTATAGCTATTGAGATGCTTTAAACTTATAAATATGAATGTATCTATAATTATATCCACAATCTGCTTCCTGTGTTTCTAATGTTCTCTAAAGGCAGAAACAAAAAAGCTGGATTTATACTGAGATAAGCTGAGATATTTTTATACTGATTGGGACGTTTTCTTTAGCTGTTTTTAAAAGGGGACAGATATATAGTTTTCTCACCACTTGGTAACTTTCTGTCATTTAATATTTGTGCATTAACTTTAAAATGACAAAACAATAGTGAAAATGTTTCTGAATATCCTTGCGATCCTTTGTGCGAGTAACACGAGAGGAAGAAGTTGAACACAAATGTCACCCAGCCCCACCTTCTGTGACACTTTGGTATACAAGCCGTATCCCTCTGGTGAGCTCAGTGAGAGCTGGTCGGCGATCCTGTGGCGTAGCTCTCTGTTGGTGATCGTTGCAGACACCTCCACTAGCTGTGAGAAGTCACACAAAATGTCACAACTCGGATTTAAGAAACACTTTTTCAACTTCCCGAATAAGCTTTCTAGCCGAGCAGAGAGAAAAAGACTCTCCTGTTTTTGTGGTGAATACTGTATGTAGGTGAGCGCAGCGTGAAGACTTTCAAACCACATGTTTCCTGTTTTCAGGTTGAGTGAAGCTAATGTACTGTGGGACATCTTTTCATTTTCTGCACAAACATGACTTATAAAAGTGACAACAAATGTAGGACCTATAAGTCTTGGGTTTTTACGTCTGAAGAGAATGTATCTGATCCTCGACCAGTTATGAAATATTTCTATTTAAACCATGATGTGTACTAAATAAATTCCTAAATCATATAATTTATTAAACAAAAAAAATATTTAGAAATTTAAAAAAAGCTATGCTTAAAAAAACTTTTTAAATAAAAAAAACTTTCCACCTTTAGTATTAATGCATTAGAGTAGTGGTTTTCAATAGGGCATTGCAAAATAGTTCTGCATTTTTCTTCTACTCTGTTTCTTTGAACCTTTAGCTGCAGGAAAGATGGCCTCATATTTATCTCTAGAATGCCTCGCTAAACACAGGAGCTCATGGTTGACCCAGTAACACCATGCTAACAGCGTCCTGCAGCTGCTAATGAGCTTAAATCACCAGCCTTCCACCCACATGCTTGATAGTTATAGGGTTTTTGTCCTGTTTGGTTTCCAACTAACATGGTGCTGTAAATTATGAGCAAACATCTGTATTTTTTATTTTTTTTAACCATTTTCCCCAAAGGGCTTGTGGGTTATCTAGTTACAACTTTACAACGAGGCATTTTTTTTTTTTTAAGGTAGACAATTTTAAGATCTGTCCAGGGACAACAGATAAAAAATAGCCTTTTGGCTAATTCTGGTGCATTTGCGGGAATGCTTTTTAATGTACACTGTCCCTGTCAAATAAATAAATAAATTAAATTAAATTAAATGTAGAGGCTGGGATAAAGCTCTGGGTGTTTTGTCATTTCTCCAGGTTATTGCCCTTATGATTAATTTATGTGAGCACCCTTAATTTACTGTTTTCAAACTCATATCTTTGCTGATTTCTCAACCTCTTTTTTTGCTTCTGTAGAAATGTGCATATATCATTAATCAGCCAGTATACTACTACTTGATTTCGATGATTTGGCAAGCTGGCAAAGATCAGATCTTTGTATCAGTTAATTATATATAAAATAAGCCAGAAAGGGTGCACTTCCTTTTGCTAAAAGTTTCTATTAATTCACTCTTTCAACTAACAAGCCTTGTATCGACAGGCATCAATAAAAAATACACCAACATTAACATAGTTACTTAAAATACAATGTTAAATACAAACATACTTTAAGCTTTAATATTACTCTAAAAATAAAGAAAAGTCGCTTTAAAATGATTCTATAGTAAAGAGCTGTGATTCTGAATAGAAAATAATGTTGGAACTTACAGCATCTGTGTCATTTGGGAAGTGGATTTTATAGAACATCTGGGTGCTGTTCTGCTGGATGGCCTCCACCTCCGCCTGATGGGGAGGAAGCTTCCTGGGTTCTTTACTGAAGGGGAAAATAGCAGATTAATTTATGACAGAACACAACGCAAAACATTTTTTGCAGATATATGTAATCAAAGTGAGGATGTCGACCAGCTTTAAAGAACATTCAAAGTATATATTTTAAAGAAATATTAAGATGAAATGTAGGACAGTGAAATAAATATTTCTTTGAATTTGCTCTGTATTGAAACTATAGGTTCACTCTTTTTTGGAAGATTTTGCCAGAACTTGCTAATCTCTTGACTAGGAATGTAACATGATGTAATTTCCTGCTAATTATCCTAGCAGGAAATCACTTCGCGAGATTGTGATGTCATATTGTTTAACTTTAAAGCCAATTAACCCACTCTCATCTCTGTTGGTTTAGATACATTAAATTTGTAAAGTTAAGTCTAGAAAAAAATAAAGTGAAAATAAGTGATTTTGAAAAAAAATCTTTCATCAGACATCATCTTGATTCTAACCTTGAAAAGTCCTGCAGCCTCTGTAAACAGATGGCAGCCAGAGGGTCCCGGGGCCGGGATTCCAGGAAGCGCTGCGCGTGTCTTTTTAATTTCGGGGAGGGTGGGAATAAACCCGAGCACAACCACATCAGCTGCCAGCCACGCTCCAAACTCATTCTGAGAGGTGCCAGATACAGAACAAAGGAAAAGAAGGGTCAAGTATTAAATGTGTTCATTTTTTTTACTTTAGTCGACCCTTTAGAACCCGTTTGTGTCGACGGTGGAGCACCTGCTGCTATTGGTGGTCATCTGCCTCATTAACTGGCAGTAGATTTCGTCTCGAAGTTCCTCGTGCTTGGTGGCTGGACCAAAGATCTGGTCGGTCAGCTCTATGGGACTTCGAGATTGTTTGATGGGGTAGTCGCCCATATACTTCAAGATAGGTAGCAGATATGGTCAAGGAAACATACACAGATGAACTATTTCTAAACGTTGAACTAATTCACATGTCACATAAATACTACAGACAGTGTATTTCTGTGAGATTCATTGAATAATGAAACAATGTTGTAGACTACAGGTCTGGGAGCAGATCCCTAAGGAGACCATTTGCCACCTCATTAGCAACATGCCCGTCAGCAGCATTGCAAGGAGGCCACGTACAATACTGAACCTCATTTTGACCTCTTTCTAAGGACATCAAAGTTGGATCAGTTGGTAATTTGTTCTTCCTAATATAATTTTGAGTGTGACTCCAAATCAAGGCCTCCATTTGTTAATAAAGTTGATTTCCATTCATGATTTTTGTGTTATTTTGATGTCAGTACATTCATCTATGTACTGAACAAAGTATTTGATGAGAATATTTCATTCATTTAGATCCAGGATGTGTTATCTGAGCGTTCTCTTTATTTTTCTGAGCATTTTGTGTATCAACATATTTTTAACAAAAAAATATTTGAAAGCAATACTGCATATTTTTTAACCCAAGCATTAGCTTAGTTTATCAATGGTTTGTACTGGCTGCTCCTCTTAAAAACTTGACATGAGTGGGTGCATCTGTCGCTGAATGAGTCATGTGACCCTGAGCACCGCTTCACGGCTGTCCAAACTCCCCTAAACATCACAGCTAACTCACAAAATAAGTTAGTGTTAGGCAACAAAACAATTATGAAACTAACTTAAATCATCTTAACTCTGTAACAGTTCTTTTTTTAAAACAGTGCAGACATTGTTTTACTTCCAGAGAACCAGATTTCCTGTGTGTATCAGAAAGCACTGCCCTAAAGCACTGACCGTTCAAACTTGGGAAAATAAGCAGCATATTTTATCAAAGGATATCAGTAAAGGAGTTGCAGGCCAGAGGGTTCAGTTCTGAATTGCCAACCAACGTCTTCAGGAGTGGCTGTTTAATAGGCTCCTTGGAGAAAACCCACAGCTTCTCCCTGTGTCCCCCCTTGTTCCGACCACCTTCTTTGGTGCCTTGTCTAAGAGAGAGAGGCATCAGCAGCAGGTTATTTGTAAATCCAGTTCATACACCCAATTCTTGTGACATGTGCCATTCTTCCACGAAATGACTAAATCAGCTGGATTATTACCTGAAATTCTCGAGAGCAAACTCTTTCAAAGAAACAGGAGCCACTGTCTCTTCGACCAGAGGGACAATGACCGGGGCTGAGCCTCTCCTCTGTTTCGGGCTGAGATTTTGCTGTGGGGTGAGAGTCAGTGGATCAGTTAAACCACACAGAGAATAATCTGAAGAAGCAGAGATTAGTGAAAATGAAATGATAGGAAGAAGAAAGACATTGGTGTATAGTGGTACATGTTTGCGGAAAATTATCATAGGTTTTCCTGTTAACATTACATAATCAGATTTGGAAATATTGCAAATTTTAACCCAAGAAGACCACTTTGCATCTTGATGAGACATGCTGATTTCTATAAAAATTATTTCTGAACAACTATCTAGTGAAGATAAATAAAACAAAGAGGTGACTTTACCAGCAATTCTGCGCTAGGTTCAGTAAGAGTTGGCAGAAACTCCACTTTTTCCCTATTGACATATCCATCCCGTTTGGTTCGCTGGTTGATCGCTTTGATCTGATTTGAAGTCCAATCTTGTGAATAATCATCATCATAGTCTTTTTCAACTCTCAGCAAGTCACCTCGTTTACAGACCAGGAAGATGGGATCATCTGGGGTGAGAAACAAAGGAACGTCTGAGGCTTGAAGGATGAATCTGTTTACCTAAAAGGTACTGTTTGACCTTATGGACTCCTACCTTGTTTAGGAATGTCCTGCTGAACCATGGCATACATAGAACGCTTTCTAAGGCCATCGACGTTGAATTCCATCACCTTGGCCATGTCCTCCGCCTCTTGAGACCTCAGGATGTAGTCTCCTTTGATTGTTGACAAACTCACAGACAGGTGTCTGTCTCTACACAAACCACAAACAGTGTTTGTAGTGATTTTAAAAGCACACAAGCAAAAAGCTGATGAAGATTCTCAGTCATCCAGGTCATAGTCATTCCGTAAAAGTTCACACAATATCCACTGGACTTGGTTTCCAAGATTTGAAGACGTTTCGCCACCTCTCCAGGAAGCTTTCTCAGTTCAAACGTCTGGATCCGCAGTGAGTTTGAGTCTTTTATAGACAAAGCCTTGTATCGCTATTGACGGCAATCCCCCCCCCTTTAATGACCGACCTTCAGAATCATAGACAGGTTTCAGATATTACAGGCTAACAATGGAACCAAACGACCCATTCATCTGTTAC